AAGGAAATATATAAATAGTTCATTAACTACTGCAAAATTGATTATTCATTTGTTCTTCAAACTAAATTGGAAATGCCCTTTCATATTTTTATGTTGCTTTGTAAATTTCACAAATGATATTTTTATCTTATTGGCAATTGAATCACATTTTCTGTTATTACTTTAATTAGTTGAGAATGTTAATGTGAAAAGAATTTAATAATAAATGCATTTAAAAATGTTTGAGTGTATGGAAGTTGATATTATAAAAATTTAGTAAAATGAACATCGGTATTCATGTAGTGAAATTGTATATTACAGATGGAGAATTGGAGTACGTGCCGGACTCTCGATTTCATTGCTGAAGTGATATTTTTGTTCTTTGCACGAGTTAATATATTACGAAATGACAACGGTGATGGTATCAGTAGCGCAATGGATAAGTGATATCGAAACAGATTAAGTGTGTAAAGAAAGTCTTCATAAAACACAAATATTTTTTACTTCGCAAATTTCTACCAAAGTGAACGTACTTGAAATTGGCAATTCTGCTATTCATGCTTCATAAAACAATCGTCGTCGTGAATGATGATCATTGATCATAAATTGACATATTTATCTCATCACACATTTTGATGAACAATCGTTCCTTGACTGACTCAGCAATCACTGAATCGTAAATCAACGTGACAGGCTCTGTGGAAACCATACGCATTACACGAACATAGAAAAAATTACTCTCAACAAGTGTTAGGCTTCTTAAATAATTACCTTCAATATTAATATGTATCACATCCGATGATTTTAACTCTTTCAAATCCGACTCTTTTTGTAGATATTGAAAAAAATATTTAACATTTTTTTTTGGCCAGATGGAACTCATTTTACATAGTCATAACAATACATTAGGTTTTGGACGTTTATTTTTCTCAAAAACAATTATGGCTACAATTGTGTACATTAGGGTCTCAAACATTACGATACATACAACAGTATCACTGATGGAGGTATGCGATTAGTGAAATAGAAATTGAAGATAGAGTTTTCTAATTATTAAAAATTTAATTTAATAAAAATTTAATTTATTAAAAATTATATAAAAAGAAATGAAAAATCATCACTTTTAATATGAAATAATTTTGGTTTCTTGACAGACAGAGATGACGTTTTCATTTCTCACACATCATTCGTGATCTTCCAATGCAACCTAGAAACTCGCATCTCGTGAGAAGCGGACCATTATCGTGAAGAGGAAAGTGCTGAACACAGTCAAATATTCTTTCTTCTGCTGAATTTTTTTCTTGCATTTTTCCGACTTGGTGAAGATGGAGTTGAAGAAGATACCAGCCTGTCCCGTTTCGCTTCAATTTGTTTCCAATGAGGCCTTCTGCCTCCCTGATTCGAAATTCAAGGAGATCCAGTATTTTGCTTTTAGGCATTTTCAAGACACATACCCCCTTACATCTTAAATGCAATATCCGTAAAAAACAGAACCAAAAGACTCTGGGCGTGCCTAAGATCACGAGAGCTTAAGAAAGAACTCAATCTAATCACAAACGTGGTAAAACGTCTTATAAAAACCACAATAATGAGCTGTATATTAATTTAATCCAATCACTTAACGTCAACAACAATACGTTATGGCAATTCACAAAAAAATTCTAAAGAAAAAAACTGTATCCCTCCTTTATACACAACCTCAGGTAAAGCCTTATCATCGATACAGAAGGCAGAGGCCCTCGCAACGCATTTCGATAGCACGTTCAGTGAGAACAAGAGTGCCCATCCCTTACATAACATAATGCTTCATACCACAAAATTAAACTTCTTCGGTCCGTATCAAAAAATTAATTATCTAATACAAATCTAATACAATGAAATTTCAAAAATTATTAAGAAACTCCCCTATAAAAAACCTCCAGTACACAACAATATTAATAACATAACTTTTAAAAAATTCCTTCTTAGGCCATAGCTAATTTAAACAACATATTCAATTCATGATTCAGGAAAGGGTATTTCCTTCATAATGGGAACAAACAAACATTATCCTCATAGCAAAGCCAAACAATACTACAACAATCCCTGAGGGTTACCGCTCAATCAGTTTATGATCCACTTTTTCCAAATATCCGAAACAATAATTTGACTGAAAAATCTGAAAAATCACCTACAAGCCACCAAAGCTACCCCAGGGGACAGTTCGGTTTTAGGAAAAATTATCTACATAGCATCAGTTACTAAGAATCTCAGAGCTTATTTATTCTGCCTTTCAAAAAAACATCACATCATAGTTATATTTCTTGATATCACACAAGTATTTCCCCGAACTTGTCACCAAGTTATCGTATATACACTCATTCAAATAGGCACTCCACAGTACTTAAAGCCAATTTTAATAAATTTCCTTAACACTAGTTCCTTCTCAGTAATTGTCATCAACTCTTTATCTAACCCTAGATTCATAAACGCATGACTTCCACAAGACTCGCTGTTATCACCACTCTACTCAACGTTTAGAATGCTGACATATCCACACTTAATAAAATTTCGATTGACCAATTTGCCGACGACACAGTCATATTTATCGCCGGAACAAACCTCCGAGAGTTGAGAACTCATATTCAACTTTGTTTAAACATGATAGACAGTTGAGCCGCCAAACTTAATATTCAATTAACCCCTAGAAAAACGACTGCAAAAATATTTACATTAAAACCTTCCTCTCTCCCTCTTCCCCTCACGCTAAATAACAATGCAATCGATTGGTACCCCCTAATAAACCCACCTAATAAACAACCAACACGATAATCGATTTAACCTGGAATCTATAGAACAACACTCGTACCTGGCTTCTAACTTTTGTTCTAAACTACCTCAAATCCCAGCTCTTTCTCCTGTAAACTGGCTGAAAACCTCATGTTCCAATCAAGAATAAAAAACAAATATCCATACCACATATTCCTGAAAAGAAAGTTGCAAATTTAGATCCTGACTGAGGCCCCCTTAACGGGAACTAACCCTTATAATAGTATGTAAGTTTACATTTAAGTATAGTAAGTCTTTTAATGCATACGTATAGTTATAATTACTGAGTTATGTACTTCTGCAAATATAAAAAAAATGCATTTTCAGTTTATTCTCGGTGTTATTCAAAATTATACAACAATTCGAAAGAAATCCAGGAGTTGAATTGTGTAATCAAAGAATGTAAATGATCAATTTGTACTAAATTGGTGCAATGTTTGCAGAATTAGCATGAAAAAAAATGAAAATGAAACCTAATCCAAGCAGATTCGCATGTTATGTTTTTTAGGAATGTTTGCAATGGTAATCATGCATTTGATATGCGTTTTCAATAGTATTAAAAAATAAATAGGTTAACTTGTAGAGGATATGATTTGCAGGCCACACTTTAAGATAGAATTTCGTATAATTAAAACCGTAATTCTTAAGATTAATAAATGAAATAAATTATTTATGTATCTTATTTTTCATTGTCGTTTAATTTTGTTGAAATTACAGTGGATATTGACAGCGCCCCAGACACAGAGCCTGTCATTGGAACACAATGCCCATTCATCTAACATCTGAGGACTGAACATATTGGTATGGTAAATGTTTATGTTCCTTATATGTGTACTATTTTTTTAATTAATATTAATTATATTTTTTCTAATTATAGGAAATTACAAGCTTCGTAAAGTATAAGTTACTATCTAGTAATTAAAAATATATTTTTAAAACTATTAAATTTTCAGAAGATGAAGAAATGTTGAGCAAAGCAACTGTAATTCTAGAGAAGATTCATTGAATCTATTTAAAGGGTGTCAAGACAAACTGGTTAATGTTTGAAAATATATCCGAGAATAAAAAAATTGTTAGTCTTCATTGAAAATCATAGGACATGATTGTGAAATGTGAACCAGAACATGTGTTTTTTTGCACATAATGTTGTCAAGAAGTGATTATAAAAAGGCAACTGATATTATTTCAATATAGGCATATATGTTTTGTATATAAATATTGTAGTAAGAACATGGTTTAACTAATTCTTTTAATATGTCTTGCGCTGAAGTTCATTGGAATGGGACTTAAGTTATCATATTTAGTTTTGAATTCTTGTGTTGTACGCAAAGAGATAATCTCCTGGCTGGTTGCTGTTGCTATTGCTGTTGGTGAAACATTTCTTTAACGCAGTCAGACCAGATCTTCATTTCATGTAATGTCCCCAAAGATGTGTAGTATTTGTTCTTAGTGTAGACTGTACATCTGTAACACAAAACCCATGCATTATTTTAGTTCGTATAATTTATTTGCAAAATGTGTACATAAGCATCAGTAACAAGACAAAATTCAATTTATAAAATAATCTGTTTGTAAAACATAATGCAAATAATTATTTCTTCTAAAAAATTATAAATGAAATTGATTTTCAGTGAGGGGCAGTGATGTACACACTGTTATGAGTAACAAAGCTATTGACTGCTGAAGTGATTTTCGTAACTGTAATCCCTATTGGGGTGATCTGGGCTGTCCGGGTGACGCCGCGTCGAAGGCTGAGTTGCCAACTCAGCCTTCGGCGGCTCAGCCTTCGACGTGGCGTCACCCGGACAGCCCAGATCACCCACATGACTCTGGTCGCGGAAGCCTACGACTCCGTAATCCCTATTGGTTTTTTGTTGCAGTTATAACTTCAAATCCTGTTTTTTAATAGAAATCACCAACCTTTGGTATTACATGATTCATACACAATAGTTGCAAATGTGCATGGCTCTTGGTAGAACACATTAAATTGAACACCTCTGTGAGACTTTATAATACGTCTTAAAAGAACCCAATACATTTACTGTAGAATCTGTCCGATCACTATGTGTATCAGGTGTGTCCAGTGACCAATATCCCTTTCTCGCAAAGAAAATACTGAATGCACCAAGACTACATCATAAATCCCCAAACTGATCGTGGAACTGGCTTCAGAAAATTTAGCCAAAAGGCGGCAAGTTAACTGACCTATATACCTTACACCGTGATTTCTCCGAGTCTTTCCTGTCCAAATCTGTGTAATTGCAATATCCAGTGTCTGAAAAATCATTCCTAGTGTCCATTATTTAGATTGAATGAAAACTCTGTAGTAACTAATAAGCAGATTAAAAAATCAACACCCATTAAATGGGGGTTGATTTATTATGATGAATCAAATAAATCAATCCCCATTATCATAATCATCATTTTCAGAACACAATTCCAAAACAGACATTTCCGTTCATAAGAAGTTTCGAAATTTGTGAACAATCTTTTTCTGTATTAAAAATGTCATTATCCCACATTTTAGTGCAAAAGGCAAAATTCTGAAATAATTCTATAATTAAAAATATCAAAAGAACGCAAAACGCTACACATTAAATTTCAAGGAGCAATAGACTACTTCACTTTAAAAGAAACTAACACAAATATTAATCTTACTTGGTTTGATACCTGGCGGTTACATTTATGCACAATGCATTTATTTGGCGAAACTCCCCTTTCTGTTCAACCTCTCCTAGGTCCGCTTCGCTCTGCCTTCTTATTCTTATTCCCACCGCACCTCGTCGACTACAACCGGCTAGCCATCCCTCGTATTGCATTGCAATTGAAATAATTTAGTCTTAGATTTCACATCAGGAGTTTTGACACCCTTGGGTAGTAAGCAGTTAAACTCGTGTGGGTACAGAGGCTAAGAAACCTTTCAATAATATTATTTTTTGTTAAAGTTATAGTGTAACTACTCATATGTGATTTGGTTTAATGGAACTTTTCACCATCTTATCCGGTGGTCCCCTTGTGATCAACTATCGTATCTAGTTTCAATCTTTAATATTATTAGAATTTTGATCCTTTTCATTGCAATTCCCCTTTCTAAAGTGTAGCGAAATCCTAAACACCAGAAAAGCGCTGGCACGAGTACCTCATTTCTGAATGGGGAGTGAAACAGCATCACACTAGGAATAATAAGAGGAATAGTAACACTTAGGAATAATTAGAGAAGAGATAACGATCAGGAAAGCAGTTGAACGTGTGTAAGGTGCGGCGGGTGCTCACGAAGGAGCGCAGTTCCTAAACAATGCGAAGGGAGCGTTGCCAAAAAAAATAAAACTTAAGCGCCATCTATTCTATGTTATTATGAATATAACGTACATAAACACTAATAAAGTCTAACAAACAAACGCAAATTGGAAAAGAAATCAAAATAATTGAATATTAATAGTTAAGTTTCTCAGGTCATTTTCTGTTCATTTATTTGAAGTTCTATATTATTACATTGCAGTTACCATTAATGATAGAACTGATTTTTATTTTTCCTTTTTCTATTGAAAACATTTGCTATAGATGTAGCAAAACAAAAGACACCAAACAAATACAAATAATGTAAATTAATATTTGAAGAAAACATAAGTTCATAACGTTCCGTCTTTGGAGTTTGGTTTCATTAATTCAATTTTTGAATACAATTGAAAATATAAAGGCAGTAAGTTAATCCGTATTGCGACCCGATTTCTTTCTTACTCTTCACTTCACTAATTTATTTAAAAATAGACTATTTATTTTCACCTAACCCGGCTTGACTCATTGTTTACTACTATTATTCAATTTATGCTTACTCTCATTAAGCTTCAGAACGGAATCGCTCACGGATCTTAAAAAAATATTACATGAGTCAACAAACTTGCCCATACGGGATTCCAAGCTACGAAAATGTACTTTGATTTTTTTTATTATCTAATTTTGAAGTACTTGAATGAAAAACACGCTCATCGTTCCAAATTATAACTTTGCATTGCTCATTTTACCTCAATTTTGCAACTCCGTTTTTGTCACTCCGAATAAAAACAATAACAAATATCAACGTATACTATAAAAATCACAACTTTCATTCAATATTTACAACACACATTTACACAATATCCCTAGTTTACCCATGGCCATGCGACCTTTCGATTGTTTCTTATGAATGATCTTATATCTAAAAGTAACACGACTTGGTCCCCCTACATGAATCATTTAAATGATTGTAAACTTTCCTTTTGGCTTCCATTGCATTGTCACCTGACGAAAACACGTGGTAATCTTCTGAATCCGTTATTCCACACCATTTTGTTGGTTCGACACGTTCCTATTTTTAATCTAAATCTGATTTTCTAACAACGAAAACTGCCGTCCAGACGGCAGTCAGAATGCGTCCGATAAAAATTCATTCGCAGAACTATTTAATAATTCCCATACTGGAGTACACCTTTCCGATCCTCTTTCCGTCAGTTAACTATAATGACCACGAATTATTCCGCAACATGAACAGCGCTGCCGGCTCCAGATCCGAACTCTACCGTCGCCAAGCACGTTCTTCCTCGCACGTCATAATGCCCACCTTTCAACTGTCTACTGACCGATAGAGTCTCAATTCCATGACTCTTTGCTAACTGCTACGCATCACCTTCAACCGTCGAGTATACATGCTCCTTCCCATTGACTATTACTTCACACTCACATTATGCTGGTTATTTCTTGATATTCCCCTTTTCTACTTATTATCAATAATACATTATTAAAGATTATAAATATAATATATGATATACATATAATATAATATATTCTTCTACAACCCTTTTTGATGGTCCTCATTTGGACCCATAATAGTATCCATGAATTCCAGGATAGAAAAAATATCAATGATCTTTCTTTTGGGAAAGTTCTTTATTACAATTGGAAAAACTTGTATTATTAAAGAGTAAATCGTTTTTTAATAATCTGGCTCACATTTCTAAGGTAGGGATAAGTCTAAATTAAGCGAACAAACCTGCATTCGAATTCTAGTATTAATATCTACTCAGGACCTATGAAAATCCTGTAATTAGTCATATATCTATTCAGAACAAAATCCTTGGTATTAAACAAAGACCTCAAAATCTTTGTAGATATTTGAGAATCTGAAAACATTTTTTCTCGAATATTTACTTAATATATAAACATTTCGTTTCTTTTGTTTGAAGGAAAACTTAGAAGGAAACCATTTTCGTGTTAATGTGACTCATACATATTACATCGAGATGCATATCCCTGAACAAAACAAGAAGGAAAGGCGTTTAGAAATTCCCTCAACAAGTTATAAATTATACCTACTTCTGGAGATGAGATGTTTTTCCTTTCCACATTGAAAATTATTATGTGAAGAAAAGTATATTTTCATTTCAATATTATCGAAATGTAACATAATGAAATCTTAAACTAGAAAGAAAAGTTTTTTACTATTTTACCCTTTCACTGCAAATTGAAATTTAAGAATATTTTCATGAGTGATGAAATGTTCTCTTTTGTGGATTTGAAGCATTGACGCCCCGAAATTCAAAGAATACCATATCAGAGAAAGTCAAATCAAGTTAATTCGTATTTATAATCAGCCTTTGTGACCAGGTCGTTTTAGTAAATCATTCTGAAACCGTAACTGCTTTTACTTGAGAAACCCATAAACTTTCTCGTTAGAATAAATAAAGATTAAGTACATTTTAACTTAATTACTTCCGCCTTTGAAGGATTACTGAGTTACCTTTTAAGGGTTGGTGGAGTATTTTCAAGAACTGATGAGTTAATACCCTAGGATATTTGAGTAGTGGGTCAATTTATTTAACCTCAATACGAATATATTAAGTTTCTTCAACTCAAAACAGTAATGTTTTTGTCTCACTTTCAGACCAAAATCAAATATTAAAATTGTCAGAAAGTTCATCTATTAAAATTCATTAGAAAGCATAGTGCTATTAGCTTTGGAAAGATTATTGCCTTTTCTTTGCTACTGTCTTTAACATACAGTCAACAGTTCAGCTTCGATACGTTTTTAATTGTTCTGAGCTGCATTCCTTACATTTTCGGACTACGAAATTAATATGTCTAAATCTTTGTAAAGTAACTTGTGAATAGTGGTTTTGTTTAATTGTGCGCCAAGGAAATTCTAATAATGCTTTGAAACTTTACTTGGTTAATTGAACATTATAATATTAGTTCTAATTATTAAAGTAAGTGACTAAATTTAGAAAGAGACTAGTATAACTTGTTCATTATGATGAACATTAAAAGCAGAACTATCACCTATAACCTTTTTCAACTCAATAAATAACTTTTTTTAATTATTTCTTGAAATTTATTGAAACCGAAGATCATCTTCCAGCGATACTTAATTAGAAAGTAAATCAACTATAAGGTAAAGCACTTTATTTGTAGATTTTTTTCGGTCAAGGAATATCGCAACACATTGTCAGGTGACATTTTTATTATTAGTAACTTTAGTTTTTCACATTTCTGAAATACAGATGATTTACTTACTTGTTGTTTCATATGCTTTAAAGAGAGAAAAGAAGTAAGTGGGTAGTTGGGTTGGTGAGACCAGGAGGCGGCGGCCGACCCCGCGCAACGCCTACTTCTAGGTCCCCATTACCGACGTAGATTGAATGCGTTCGTGCATTACGCTGTTGATACAATCACTGTCGGACGGGCCACGCACGCTCCGCTGCGTAAGGCCAGGCGAAAAAAGCGCCCTCTCTTTTTGGGAGGGGAATTCGTTTTCCCGGACACGCAGTCTCGGACGACGAGAGGGGGAAAAGGGGTAGGACCTTCGCCGTAATGTGGAGAGAGGTACCGGCAGAACAACTAATTTAATCGTATTCACGACCCGCCGATAAATAGAGTGTGACGAAGCGCCCCGGAGTTCACATTTCACCGCTGCGGTTGCGCCAACGGGTGAGGAGGGGGCGGGGGCGTTGGCATGCGGAGTAGTCGGCTCGCGAGACGCCAGGTGCGCCAGACACACACAGGCTGCATTGCACGGGCCGGCAGACGCAGCTTTCTTCATACAAATTAGTAGCCAGAAACTAGTAGCGATGTACAGCAGCGCACATTATTTAAATTAACAATTGTATTGTACATTGCCCACGAGCCTCAGGATGGCTCATGGGCAATGCACTAGATTCCCGAGATGTGGTTTCGGGTTTCATTCCCGGTGGAGGCAAAAATAGAGTTGTAGCTTTCCTTTAAAATCGTCTCAGTTTCTATCCTGTGCGACGAGCTGTCTGACGAACAAAAACTCTAAAAGCTCAGGTAGACGGAGTTGGCTTGTGGCATTGAAGGGAATACGCCATGTTTGACAGGTTTCTCTTACCCCCACCCCAAGCGTTAGAGGTAAACTAGGCTTACACACTATTAGCTATTTGGTAAAGTCGGACAATCGGTCCAAGGTTGCAAAAGTTAGATTTGACAAGTTTACATATGCCTCGAGGTGCTCCTTAAACAATACCTAATGCAAGAAACAATTTCTTCATTATGATGTCTAGCATCTATTCATTCTACAAACTTCCACTTATTTATTCGTTCATTCATCAGCCCTATACAATAAAAGAATTCCTGGTTGGTAAAGTATTATTGCTCATAAATTATTTCTTCCAAAAACGTCGCCATTGAGAAAAATATTTTAATGAGTTCCGCATAGTATTCAAACAAGTGAATTTTTCAAATATTTTACTACTTCTAAGTCTCCTGATATTACACTTTTATTTTTTCAAAGGTTTATTTTGTAAAATCCAGGGCAGTGTCAGAAGAAATAAACGGTCGTATCAACTTGATATCATTGACAATACTTTTATATTTTGAATTTAATGTGAACTTCGATATAGTAGCGGGTTTTATTTCAAACTAGTAAGACATCATTAGCTTTATATGACTAAAATATTCAAGAATGCAAACAATATAGTAAAACCTCCTTACTTTCAGTTATTGTTAGGAGGGTTCATAACAGTGATCTGTTTTCAATCATCAGTAAAAAAATAAATTCAAAAAATATATTTTTTAAGGATTGTGGATCTTCCTTTGTCATATACTTGGACACCCCAATTCAAAACGTCTATCTAAAAGGTTTACTTATTAAAATGTAGCGTTGTCATCTTAATCACAGATAGGCAACGTTTACAATAGCAAAAGAAAAACAAATGTATCGTCCAATGACTACATTTTATGACACCTCTTTCATGAAAAATCACTACTGTTAACAGCGTTTACACAGAATAAGATAGATTTGTTTCCTAAAATAACAAGCTCAAACATTTGACTTATTTTCAAACTACGCTCTACTTCACTGCTATTCAGCAGTTGGATTGTTTCATTTACTAAAGCTTTGAAGAAGCCTTTGTTGTTGCTTGATATCTAACTTGTCAATTTACATGATATTAATTTCAAATTTTGTACGATTATATGAAGAGTGTTTTAATGAACCCACATGGAAAAACCGAGAGTTGAAAATTTGGTTTCATTATCTTCCAGTTCAACACCATTTTACAGTGTACGACAATTTTCGTGATTTGTAAACCTTTAAGAAGTAGCACGATTTTATACAAATCAGTCTTGCGCACAGCCAGAAGATATGGAGACACGGGGCGAACATGCGAAGTCGCTACTGTTGCTCGATAGTAAATTTTCAATTTATATGACAAATATTTCCATATTTCTGGGACAGACACGTACGTTTAATGAACACCACGGGTAAACATAAGCCGTAGTTCTGTTTGAGTATCAGTTTATTTATTTAATACCTAAAATAGTTAAAACTGAGTGACGTACTATGGGGAGAAGTGTAGCAGCGTAAATACATGTGCAACAGGGGTTTGCTGTGGACGCACTAATTTCATCACGGTAGACCCTACCAGAAGGGGCTATTTTCTACAACGTAGCATTGTGAAGCGAGCCGTTGATGGTCGTTGCCAGCGCTTAGCACCGTGGACTGGAGACGCAGATGTGTACATCTGTAGAAACGAACGGACGTCATATCGTTCAATAACTACACAGTTTATGACACCTATATGGAAAACAACTTATGACAACAACGTTTACACCCCTGAAGATTTTGTTTGAAAAATCACTAGCTCAAGAAGTTTACTACTTTTGAGATTACGCTCTAGGTGACTTACTCAGCAATTCGATTGCTTCATTATTAGAGTTGTGAAGAAGACTATCATGATGATTGTTAGCAAACTCGCTAATCCTTGACAATTATTTCTAATTTTATAGGATTACAATAAGAGGAGTATTTTAATGAACCCAGATGGATACATCGAGCTTCGATTTCATCATCTACATGTGCATCGGCATTTTACTTGTTGCAATACATTTTCCCGCAGTCAAACCTTTCAGAAGTGGCCCAGTTTTCTCTAACGTAGCATTGTGAAGTGCGCCGTCGGAGGCGGCGGGTGGCGACGCGCCGGTGCAGCAGGCCGTCGGGCGATGCAGCTTCGGAGCGGCGTTCCACATGAGCGGCGCCAACCGAAATGCAAACGAGGCCGTTACGCCTTGGCTCAGCCGCGGAAGCAGGACACTACTCACAATGGACATGGAGGGTTCACATTTCATTCGCACGTTGACGTGGGGTTTAACTCGTGTGTGTGTGTGTGTAATGACAGGATTGTTAACAAAACAAATTAAACAATCTTCCATAAAAATTTAAATCATAAATGTTCTTGCTTGTTTCACGTTTCTCGCTCGAACATCATTAGCTACAAGCATATGTTCAAATTGGTAATACTCAATTCTTAAACTAAAAATAAGGTATTTTCCCTTTAATTATTTTTGGTGATTTGCAATAATGCATAATAATAAAAATAAATTACTGTCATATTGTATTTGCCTGGCTCGTCCATTTTCGGGTATAAAAAATGTATGTCGAATAATAATCGAGTAAAATATTTCTTTATCGTCTCGTGTATCTATGACCCACTATGGTTTACGCTTAATCACTATCTGCCTCTTTCTTCTTCTCTTTGCTTCCATATCTCTTTCTTTCTGGCGCTATGTTTCTCTTTCCTCTCTTCAGTCCAAATGGCCTTCGCCTTCTTTTTTGGCTTGTCCTCAAATTCTGGGAATTTCTTGAGTTTGGTCCTCATTGAAGACCGCTCAGTAATATCTGGTGTAATTTTGGGCTCCTCCAAGTCCTTTTCAACTTTTTTATACCACGTATTGTTCATCTTTAATTTTATGAATTAATGAAAGAGTCTTCCAGTTACTTTTTGCGAATGTAATTTGTAAAGATGTCCATAGAATATAACGTGTCCGTATATTTTCAATAATTTTTCATAGTTCCTTGTTATGACGTCACTGATACAGATCGCTAATTTTAATTGGGCCCAACATTTTTCTGAGAATTTTGCGTTCCGTAATTTCCAGTTCCTCTACCAACATTTTCTTATTTAGGGTTAGACATTACGCTGCATTCAATGTTTCTGGTCTAACTACAGCGGATTAATGCCGAAGTTTTGCTTTGATGGAAATTGATTTCTTATTATAAACAACTTTAATTAAGTTTCCAGCTAATTTCAATTTGTTAATTCTAGGTTTAATGGTTTCTTTCTCCGAGATATTTACCTCAATAGCTTGAATTTTTGAATTTGTTGTTCTGAATATTATACCATATTTTGTCTTCATCTTTGCAGGGGATATATTAATATTTTTGAAATTTGGTTTTGTCAAATGAAATTTCTTGGCCGACTGTCATGGAATGTTCATTCAAAAATGCAACTTGCTGAATAGCTGTTTCTACCGAGTGTGACAATACTTCTAAATTATCTGCCAAATGGTCCACTACCGGCTTGTCTCTGTTAAACCGTATCGTTTACTGCAGTAGACATGATGTTCTTCCACTGTGTCCCTCCATTCTTTAGTAACATTTTTCACAACTCAGTTGAAGGGCAGTAGTGAAAGACCATCCCCTTGGCAAATTCCTGTTTTGATTTCAAATCTTTTAGATAGTCCACCTCTAAATTCGAAACACTGAGCATTGTTTTTTTTCTTAGCAGTAATACTGGAGGTCCAAGCAGTAGGCTGTGACTGTGGTTATGTATTGAGATAGCTATTTTTATTAGAAAACCCTGGCAGATGAAGTGTCGTAGGTCACCGCGGAATCATGAACTGGACGTTTCACGTTGTGCGACAGCGTTTCTTCCAAGTGCTGGGGTACGTGCACACATTCATCTACAAGCTAGAAGAAACGGATGTGGTAGGAAGCAATTGCGACATACTGTTGCCATTTTTCACTTCCAAAAAAATTTACTTTTTTCTTTCTTGTCCTTAGAGGTATGAGAAAAGAGACGTAATCTAAATGGTGAGAAGGGTTTCAATCACTTCTGCTTCAGGTATGTCGCATCCTTTTTTATTAGAACATTTATCCTTGTCATAACAGCCTTGTCATAACAGCCTTGTCAGAGTGTCCATCTGAATGTGTCACTATACTTTGCGTCCCAAAATTGGCTTTGTTATTAACCAAACTTTTATTATTTTTTCACTCAGTCATAATTCATTTATGATTTCATTCGTACAATAGCCTAGGAGAATGCAGATCAGAAATCCTGTATTGATGGTTTACGAACTAAGTTTGTTCTTTTAAATCTTAAAAAAAATTAACGATTAATTTACTTCTTTTTAATTATTTGCTTAAATATTTTAATTCAATAAATACAAAACATTTATGTTATATGCTACAGTATTTTTCTATTAGATTGCGCTGGCACATTTCAAGGATCACAAAACTTAAGGGCATGTATAATTTCTTAGAATTTGTATTAAGATTTGCTGATTGAATGTATTGTCATGAACTCGTGTCACATCTAATATACGCCAATATATTTTATCAGTCTTGTACTATTTTATCCTTGTTATTTTAAAAAAATAAATCTAACAGTTGTGCGCGTTCTTGTAGTTAAATCAAAATCTAAAAAAATTATTTAAGCTGGTGAGTTCTGTGATTTTTGCTCCGCATGGTTATGATCTGCGGAACCAAACATTGCTTCGCTCATCTCAGACGTTTGCAGCGGTTAATTTTGCATTTGCTTGAATACACCAAGAAGATCATGCAAACCGTAATCATTGTGTGTTGTTGTTCAATTTATAATCCAGGTGTCATTCTCAAGAATGTGCTAGCAATTTCTTTTATTGCGTGTCCCGTACCATGTCCGGATACTTACACATTACTAAGCTTTTCATCAGTCAAGATTGATAGTTGTTTCAAGCACGCGCTGCAGAGAGCATTGAAAGCCGGTCTGTTGCTCATTAGCCTCTGTGCAAGGTTGATGTAACTGCCATTTGCAAAAGCTCAGAGAGCACGTGAGGGCAAGGAATTCCTCTTGAAGCTCTACAGAAAGCAATACGATTCCAACATCGGCTTGCAGTTTTCGCTGTTTCTCTTCAAGATTTATATCCTTAGTTCTGTTTAACATTAACGATTTTGCTATTTGATTTACTAATGTTAGCTTGAACATTTTACGTTGCTAAAATAAATGAAGAGATGGGGTTCTTGTCCGTATTCATTCCTTTCAGGAGTGTGGAGACACGTTCATTTATCCTTAGCGTCCGTTTCTTGTCAAGCCCTACATTAAAGTTTTTCAGCTAAACATTGTTTACGAAATCAGAATGACGGTCTACTACCCAGACATTCCTTGGTAATATCGTTTGTGTCGTATAATTACTATTGATAGAATACTATTCTTCAGATCAAATCATGGCGAATATACCGATCATATCTCCTGCCTAGTACTTCAGCTAGTATAATCAACTAACCACTAATTAGACGCTACCATTAGTTGTGTACATATGGTCGTCGACAGCAGGAAGGCAGAAACATGCGTGGATACTTTGTAGATGAATGGCTGAGGAAGAAGGCCTGACGGAATTATATGATTTGAGAAAACGAAGGGTCATAGACTCTTCCTGTCTTTAGAATATATTTACTTCAGCTTTACAAATCATTTCCGGCCCATCCTCAACAACTAAATGTTTTTATTTATTTATTTAATTCTTTTTGAATTACAAAGTTCAGTTTACTTGAAAAAGTTTGCAATTTTGCGATGACTTAATCTAATTAACTTAATTTGGTTAAAATTGTACTTAACTAATCTTAATAGAGGGAGACGAAACAAGAAAAACTCATGAGAATTATTCAATAATTGCAAGTATCTGAAGGCAAAAATGGAGCGTGAATCTGTCCTAATATGGTTTTGTACCTGGGATTTTTGCCCAGTCTGTAGTGAGTTGATGTCTTTATGAAAGATATGTTTATGTAAAAATTGTTTGATAGAAATGCTATTAGGTGTGGGATTTCATTTATGTTTAGATCTTGATTTAATTGTTTAATACTAATGAATCATGGCGCTCTTGATATTAATCTTAAATATTTGATTTGAAATACTTGCAATTTGTTGAGATTGGTTTTGTCGGTAATGATTCAGATCGGGCATACGTATAACAGTGTTATGCGAATGGGTGATTTGCGTAGCGTTAGTGCATTTGACAGTGAGAGGTGGTTGTATGAGTTTAGTAGAGGACTTAATTGAATGCGTTTGATTTTTGCCTGTTGTGCTTTTATCTCAATGTGTTGTGTCCAGTTAAGTTCAGTACCTAAATTCAATCCCAGATATTTTATTGTTTTCATGATTGGGGTCCAATTTATATTATTATTATTTATTAGTAGCGGGGGTGGATATGCAAAAGGTTTTAATGAGAAGACTTTTGCTGCTGATTTTGAGAGATTTAATTTAATGTTCCAGTTATTTGCCCAATTTGTTATTAGATTTATATGCTGTTGGAGCTGTAATTGGTGAGTTTGTAATTATTTGACGGAGATACACAATGCAGGGTCATCTGCAAATTGAGCGCTATTTATTTGATTGCAAGTAGGAAAGTCTGCAGTGTAGAGATTAAAGAGAGTTGGGATAGCGGCGAACCTTGGCGGACCCCAGCGGCAATTTGTTTGAAGTTAGAACATTGACCATCTATTGTTACTAAGAATGTTCTGTTATATATGATATGTTTGATGATTTAATTTAAATAATTTGACGTACTAATTTGAAGTAATTTGAAGTAAAGGGCTGGATGCCATATTCTGTCAAATGCTTGTGACACCTTTAGAAATACAGCGGTGGGGAGAAATCCATTTTGGAAAGCACAGTAGATGTGTTCAGTTAGCCTCAATAGCTGGTGCGTCGTTGAGTGTTGGGATATGAAACCCAATTGATGAGGTGGAATTGAGTTAGTTTTGTTTATTCTGACGAGAATTAATTTTTGACATGAGTAAAATACTAATTGGTTCCTAATTTTCTGCATGTGATTGATTTTTATTTGGTTTTGCTATTGAATGTGTTATTGAGTGTTTCCATGATTGGGGAAAACAACCTGTTCTTAGTGTGAAGTTGTATGTATTATTTAAAAATGCGATGACATTGTTTGGTACTCCTTTGAGGATAGCAGTATTCATTCAGTCATGTCCTGGAGATTTTTTATTTGGCATTTTTTTTAAAAAATTATTTGTTTTACTCCTTAGGGAGAGACGGATTTAATTCTGTAAGGAATGTATAGAGGAGTGTTAAAATTTTAAAATTTCGTCATGTTTGGCATTTTTATTGAGTCATTAGGAGTGAATGTGGTAGCAAAATGGGCTGCTAAA